GCTCCAGGGATGGGGTCTGCCTTTAAGAATCGGAATTTGCTTGATATCGTATCACTTTGAATGCCAGAGAGCATTAAGGAACATCAGGCAGACAGTATCGTGTCAGTTGACAATTTTAACTCTTCAAAGCAGGTTCCAACTTTGAACCGACCATTAGGTTAAAAGGAAGGAAGACACAAAAGCTCATGTGCAGCCCTGGCAGAGGGTATTGAGAAAGTGTGTGGAAAATCCTCATTATCTTTGAATTCCGTTTTTGACAAGGACTGTTTGAAGGTCCCAAGTGTTGTCTTTTACCAGAGGCAGGTGATTTTGGATTGTTCTTTTGGTGGTGGGAAGTCTGCATCCACACATGGGAACACGTGGGATTCTTAACTGTGACGATGGCATGGCACGTCATTTTTCAGAGCCCTTCTTTATAGACCCTCTATCGCCTGGTCTTGGCTCATGGCACTCATGACACGCAATTACTGATTAGAAACATTGTTTTTAATGACACCAAAGTCACAAGCCAGAAAGGCAAAAGCAATTGGGCTTCATCAATCTTTAAAAATTTGTACACCAAAGGACTTGATTAACAAAATAAAGAGACGGCCTAGAGGGCTGGAGAAAACATTTGGGAGCCACATCCCTGATAAGAGTTCCATATACAGAATACATGAATATCTCTACAGCTCAACAGTAGAGAGACCCAATCAATCCACTGGAAAAATGGGCAAGGTTCTTGAACAGACATTCGGCAAAGATGATGCACAACAAATGGCCCAGAGGCACATGAGAAGATGGTTAGGATCATCAGCCACTAGGGACACTCCATCCAAAACCATGAGGTGGGACTTTGCCTTCACTAGAGTGGGAAGTGAATGCTGGTGAGGGGGGGTGAAGAAAGGGGTACACCCCCTCACGCCCCTTTGCTGGTGCGGTGGTCAGTGATGCAGCTGCTGTGGAAAACGGTGGCCCCTCCAGAAAGTTGAACGCAGGAGCACTGTAGGATCCCACACTGGGGCCCTAGACGTGTGCCCAGAGACCTGAAAGCAGCACGCCGCTGAACTATTCACTCAGGCCAGGAGGCAGGAACGGTCCACCTGTCCCTCTGCAGATGGCTGGATAAGGAAAGCTTGATATTATTCATATGACACACTATGCAATCCTCATAGAGAGAAACGAGGCTCTCAACTGTGCGAGGCCTGAAGGAGCCCTAGAGCCGCTCTGCCGGAGCTAGGTGGAGAGAACGGAGCCCTTGGACATTTGCGTTCAGTCGGCCGCAGCACCGCTCTCACACATGAACTGAGTGTTTGCTTCCCGTGCTGATCTGAGAAAGTCCTCTAGCAGCCAAGGCCAACAAGGCCACGGTTGGCCAACCTGGGGTGAACAGGAGACTGAGGTGCTCAATTCCCGACCCAATGATTTGCTGAGGAGCATGGGTGGCAACTCCCACCCAGAACCTCACTCTGGCACTCTTGCCGGAAGATGCTCCTGTGGAGGCAAGCGCTGCCCATTCCTGGGGCCAGCAGGATCAATACCACCCTGCACAATACCCTTGCAACCTGCCTCAGGTTGCCTC